AGATCTAGTAGAGTGCTGTATGAATGGGTAAATGAGGCACAGATTGTAGTGTAAAGCGCTTTGAGTGTCTTGATAAGATAGAAAGGTGCTATATAAGTACAGTCCATTTACATTTACCATTTACTTATCCATCAAATTATTGTATAATTAATACTTCTTTATTTACTACTTATTACTTGAACATGTTTTGCTTTGATACTGTTTCATAAATTTTATAGCATGTTTTTAATACAAAGCCAACTGTTGTACAAAATTTGTTGTTCATTTATTCAAATGTAAACATCAGGGAAATTTGGAAATGTTCAATATGCTTAAAAATCATTTAAATTGGCAATTACATTGTACTAACCAGTGTACTTTGGTTTCTAAGCACAGTATATGGACCGACCACAGCAAAATTAGCTTCAACGGTATCCAACGTTCAATGTAAAACTAACGATATACCCAAATGTAGACTACAACACTGGGCACACGGGATTATAAGGCACATTATGCGAAACAAAACAGTCAGATAAGTCCAACTTTATTAAATTCATTCACCATAAACACAAAATATCGGTTCAAGGTCAGTAAGTGCAACCAGAATTACTACATAAGGCGCACCTGATTATAAGGCTCACTGTCAATATATATATATTTTTTTAATTAAAGGATTTTAAGTGCGCCTTATAGTCCGAAAAATACGGTACCTGTGTTTTTGTTTCCATATGTTAATTTTGGCATCATTTACTGCCACGCCCACTTCACCTGTGTCTTATTTCTCATGAATCTCAGCTGCAGTCCATCTCCCTCTTCTCCTTAATCTTCTTTATATTCTGTGTATTGTCATTTGCACATCATTGGTGCAGTCTTACCACAGTCTGGTTTGCTCATGAGATTTTCCTCCAATGTGTTTCCTTCCGAGTATTTCGTAGCTTCCACCTCAGCCTTTTGCCTTCATTTTTATAATAAATGAGTTTTGGTTTGGGTTTTGAGTGCCTTGTGTTGAGTTTGCACTTTCGGTTCCTGCTTCCAACCCAACCTGACATTGGTTAGGAAAGTGTATGAAATGGAGGATTTTAAGTATGGGTCTTGGATGAAGCTTGGGTTTTGTCCAAAAAAAAAAACGAAACAGTTTGAAAAAGTACAGTAACTTAAGAAAATATTTGTAATATTTATATCTTGGGGGGGGGGGGGTGTATTATTTTTTTCTTCAAACCTATACAAGCTTTTTTGCATGATAGTGGATCTGCAATAATACAGTTTATAAATGTGTTTGAACTTGTTTTACCCACATCATTTCCATAACAAAAGTGTGAAGCAGCTAAAAAAGAACACATTCTGTAAAATACTGCAGCCTTACACTCTGAGGTGTTGCGCATGGCTTCTTCTCTCCCTCTCCCTCCCTCTCTCTCTCTCTCTCTCTCTCTCTCTCTCTCTCTCTCTCTCTCTCTCGCTCTCCTCCAACAAAGCCGTGCACATCAGCGCAGTGCAGCGCATCCAGCGCACAGATGAAGTGCCTCTTTGGACTCCCCCTATAATAAAGCGCTCCCCCCTCTCTGTGTCCTTCCTGTCTCACGGCGCTGGACAGAATGTCTCCAAACACCTGGGTGGATCCATCACTGGAGGCGGGTTGCTCTCTTTGTTCCTTTTACGCTCCGTCTTAGCACGCGCGTGTTGTGAGGAGGACTGGATGTGCTGGATGGGTTTTCTCCGGAGCCTGTGAGGTGGAGGGAGCTGCACGCTGAGACCATGTGGAGGAGAGTGGACACGTCCTGTGGAGGGAGAGCAGGAGGCAGAGAGCAGGTCTGAGAGCAGAGAGCTTCGCGTGCGCTTTCCTGGATAAAAAAGGCTTCAGGGAGACAGAGAGACGAGATGGTAGAGAAGTAAGTATAAGAACAAGTTCATATCAAACTCTGTGCTTTTGCTTCAAGATTTGTGCGTTTCCAATGAAATGGTCATTTTATTATTCCTTACTGAAACTTATTGTGTACATAATGTTGCTAAAGTGTGACACTTTGTCTACTTTGTCTGAGAAAGTTGTTTTTCTTTTCTTTTATTGAAAAAAAATTAAATAAAATACAATAAACCCTCCTGGGAGTGGTTGTGTAATTAACTAATTATGGCAAGCTGTTTGAGAACCAGAACAAATAATGCTAAATTTTTTAATGATCTGGTCCTTTTGGGACTCAATAAATGAGTTAGATCCCAGGAAGGAAAGTGATGCATGTTTTGTTGTTGACATCAGAACTATCAGGCTGTGATCCTGTGCATGGTTCTGTTTACTTTTAATCAACTGAAAATTCACATTTATTGGTCTGTTTCCAAAGCAGCCCAACTGAGCTGAATGCAGAATGAAAAGTCTGTTGTTTTCATCTGGACTGATACAGACAGGAACACAGACGGCTGCTGATGTTGGCAAATTGTTGCAGATCATGAGCGTTGAAGAGGAGTTCTGCTCCACTGACACAAAAATACAAAAACAACTGTTTAATGAAACAAACACCAAACTGGAAAATTAAACCTTCCTATTCAATCTAGTCAAAACTATTCATTTTGTTTAAATCGCACAACTATGAGTTGCATCAGTCGATACGATCAGTGACAATGTAAAGATGCTGTTGTTTGACAGGAAGAAAACAAAAGATGTGTAAAGGGAGGCGGGGCTTTATGATTGACGCCTGGCCCGTTTATCAAATTGAGGCCTGCTGACTGCCAACTGCAGCAAAAAAATAAGGGATGAATATGTCAATGGGACGTTTGAAAACAAAGCTTGACTTTAAACCACATTTGGCTCTTGTAGAGTATAGACTCTCAGCTCCAACCATGCCCAACTTTAGCTCAATATCTGTAAAACTCACTGAGTCGTGATCATGTTTGTGTTTATAACATGTGATCAACTGTGATGGCCATCTTGAAACCGATGGACTAGAGGATTCAGTTGAAGACATACAGCCAATGATTACATTGTAAAAAAAAAATTATTAAAATCCATGCAGTGGTTCATGAGATATTTTGCTAACAGACAGACAGGAGTAACTAGCCGTTAAGGCTTAAATTTTAAATCAAGATGTTGCATGATTCCTTAGCACACATACACACAAAAACACAAACACTCAGATAAAAAGGCTTGTCTTGGAACTGTCACAAAGGTGTGTGGAAAAAAGCATAAATTATATCTAATCTTCAAAAACTTTATTATTATTATTTGGAGTAAAGCATTTCCAGCTTTACTTTCTGGAAGGTAAACACAATATCATGACATTCTTTGGGGCAGAGGGTGAAGCACATCATAGTAAAACAGGCTGCAAAACATGGTTATTATTTTATAAGAGCAGTGTGGAGGGGCTCATGATTTTTGCATGCACGTTTCAGCTGCTTGTGCTGCACATCAATTTCTGCACTGAAATAACCTCCTCCCTGTGCTTCAGGGGTAAAGGTGGATGTTTTTTTTTAAGACACACTATTATAATTCAAGCTGCAAACCACCAGGCTGAGATAAGAAAATGTCCCTCGACTTCAAAATACTTCACTCAGCCTTAAAATCACTCGTTAAATTTTACTTTAAATTCAAAGGTTGCCCCAAAATTCTCACTCACCATTTCGGAGGTTATCATTGCCCTAAGCGGTGATAATATGTGTGTGCAGATGTGTGTTCATTTGTCTGTACTGTTAGCAAAACATCTCAGATTCTTAATGAAACTCCTAAAAAGTAAACAATGGATGTACTTCTATAACTGATTTACTTTTGGATCCGTGTCAAGATGGCCGTCACTTCTAATCAACCTGCAGGAAACGCAAAGGTAGCTATAACTCAACCGAGCTAAAACTTGATCTGTTCGTAGCTGAGAGTCATTCCCAACACATACTCCCAGCACTAACTGGTCGTGCAAGAGCTGTGTTCAAAATGTTTGCAATAACTAATTGGCGGGGGGTCCTTGCCCAGACAATTTTGATTAGATGCCATTTCCTGCATTCTTTTTTTTTTAATGGATTGTTAAATGTTTACCTACATTTTTAAATACTTGATTCAATAACTATTTTAGAGAGCAACCTGACCAACAGCTCTCCTTGTTTGAATAGAGCACAATCTGCTTCTCTCACACATCCTACACACCGCCTTTCCCCCAGCCCACCGCGCTTCAAATTGCCACTGCCTTCATGTGCTTTAATTCTCAGTTGTTTAGTTGTACAACGAGAAGACTTAAAAAAAGAAAGTAAATTGGACAGTCTTTTCGACATTTTGATCACTGTTATTTTGATAAATTGGTGCCGTTGTTTTGAACCATGACATACATCATGTGATTACCAATCAAACATTTCTCTTGTATTTTTAATAAATAATCAACATTTTATTAATGACACACTTAAACTGTAAAATTGATATGCAATTTAGTTGTGGCGTTTAATTATATTTTTGTTTTTTAATTAAATTGCCCATGACTGTACTTTTAGGGGCGGCGATTTTTTTAGGGTAGAGGAGGAAATGCTTACTTGAAGGAGCAGCTCTTATGTGATATTAAGAAGCTCATAAGTGGCTGCTATGTTTAAAATCAGTGTTTATGTAATTATTTTCAGATTACATATCCAATATAGGTTTTATTCGTTCAAGGCAGTCATACTTGTTCATAACTTTATTATTAATAAGTTTGAGAGTTACCAAATCCAAGCAAACAGTTACCGGAATGCACCCTGTCAGAGATCCCGGATCCTGTTCTGGCAGGATCCAGCTCAAATTAAGCCCTGAATAACAGTGGTAAAATACAAGAAAACAAAAATATTATTTGGGATTTCTGAATTGAAAAAATATCAAATGAATTTTGTGGCAGGCAACAAAAAGTGTAAAATAGATTTTAAAATTGTATTAAAATATTTAAATAATCAAGCTAAATATTTAGAATGCATGTTAACGAGAACAAAACTGTTCGGTAAGCTGTTTGTTTTCAATCATATTTAAAACTTGACACATGTAGCATATTCCTGTCCTACAGCTCCGTAATAAAAACTAATGAATGTGTTTCATGCTTGCAGTGGCTGCACCTGACCTCCTTGACCCAAAGGCTGCCGTCCACAACGCCAAGCCCCGCCTGTCGTTTTCCACAAAACCAGTGGTGCTGAACACTCCAGAGGATGATGAGTGCGACACCCGCACTACCGTCATGAGGTGGAAGACTGTGTCAGCCATCTTCTTCCTGGTGGTGCTGTATCTCATCATCGGGGCAACGGTGTTCAGAGCCCTGGAGCAGCCTCACGAAACCAACCAGAAACTGGACATTCTGGCGAAAAAGCTGGACTTTTTGGTGACGCACGCCTGCGTAAATTCTTCTGAGCTGGAGAGTCTTGTCAAGGTAGGTAGAAGTACTGACCGATATGTATAGTTTAAATGTTTTTTTTCTTCTGCAGGAATTGCTGACTAACAAAATATACTTAATTTCGTCATAAAACCAGGTGTAGTGTTCTCAAATTTGTGGTTGGATCTTAATATTGAAAAAGCAATGTTGGTTATTAATTTTGTAGCTATGACGTTGAAACCTTGAAGAGTGTGGTTTTTGTCACAAATTGTAATAAAAAAAAAGTTTAACTTCCATCCATCCATTACCTGCTTCTTCCCTTTTGGGTGGCAGGGGTCATTGGCGTCCATATCCAGCCGTTACAGTGCGAGAGGCGGGGGACACCCTGCAGGTCTCCTGTCTATCACAGGGACACATAGCAACAAACAACCATTCAGTCTCTCACTCACACCTAGAGACAATGTAGAGTTACCAATCAGCCTCACATGCATGTTATTGGTTTGTGGGAGGACACCGGTGTACCCAAAGAAAACCCAGGCAACAGACACTGATCCACCGTGCCGCATCAGATAGTCATTATATTTATAATAATTCACGACTCTTTAACATTAAAATGAGCATTCATGTTCAATTTCTAAGAATGATCAGAGGATTCGCTCTGTGTTTCATGACATCGAGATGGTCTCATCTTTAACTTTAAAAAACACTGCTTTGCACAAACTCACGATGCTTTACCTCTTTTATCACAAACCATATGGAGCAGCGCTGAGCAAGTGAAAAAATATTAGCAGTCAAATCCCTTTACAATCATTTTAAATCCTCATTTTGTTTAATCTGATGTTGAATTTTAAATATGTAGATTTATTTGCAGTTGGCACATGTTCAGGATATAGTCTCATATAGGATACTGTCATCATGTGACATCCCAATTATGTTACAAAATATATAGTTGGCAACCTTTAATACGTACAAAACCAACATCTTTACATTTTCCTTAACAAAATTATCAAAACACTGTAAAAATCTAAGTTAAATTTTATAAAAAGTAATCTCAGTATCTATTAAACAGGATTTTTTTTTAAGTGATGTCACAAAATGATATTTTCACTACTTTGACTAGGCACACAGTTGCACTTGAATGCAACATTTGTTCTTGTTGTGCTTCCTGTTCCTGGTTAAGCTCACACAATGATTTGCATGAGCATGGAGTTGTTTGACATTAGCTTATCTTTGACATACAAATGTAAAATAAAGAGACTCTGAGGTGTTTTTATTATGTGATGGTTGTTATACGGAACATAATAACTCAAGTCTCCTATGAAACGCGAGGCGAAGCTCTGAGCAAATGAAATATATTAGCAGTCAAATCATTTTACAGTCAATAAATCAAAGGTGTTGCATATTTAATTATAAGGTCTTGTTGGCGCAGGCTGATTTAAATCAGACTGAACAGGAAGAAGGTCAGGCATGTACTGCCAGATCAAGTCAAATGCAAGAATTGAAAATCATCTTCTATTTAATTTTAAAGAAAATTCTGGCAACACAGCTACCATCCAAACATAATTATCTGCATACATTAAATGTAGCTTCTATATAAATGTTGAGTGTAATCTCTTACGTATAACTTTATTTTACTTGTAGTGGAAGAAAAGACGTAGATTAAAATACTTTTTAAAAGTTCCCGTTGGAGATATTAAATATTTTAGGGAAATATTTTCCACCTGAAGCTAAAAGCAAAACAACAAAAAAACTCTAAACTGCAGTACAAATACCTATGATGAGTTTAGACTTTTAACCTACAAATACTGCTGAACGTGTGACTGTTCCTGCTCTCAGCCAGGTTGCCTTTGGAAAATAAATTTTGATCTCAATATATATATATATTTTTTTTTGTTTAATACTGGTTAAATAAAGGCAACAGCTGTGAAAGATTAGTTGATCTCACAAGTGAACTATTCAAAGCTGAAGAAAAAACACAGATCGCCTGGAGACTTTTACGGTTCAATTCAGTTTGTAGATTTTGATTTTCTTTTATCCTTTATTTATACAGGTAGTCTTACTGAGTCATGAAGACTCATTTTCAAGAGAGGCCTTTTTTAGACAGACAACATAGATTACAGACGATATACAACAATAATAAACAATTAAAATAAAAATAGCGTTATGAAAACCCTGTTACTGTTAGCAGAGTGGTTCTGTTTGCAGCATAGTACTGTTGGCATTGAGTTTCTCTTAGCAGCATGGTCCTGTTAGCAACATGGTTCTGTTAGCAGTGTGGTCTTGTTAGCAGTGTTGTCCCATCAGCAGCATGGTTAACACATTTAATCTGTTAAATAAATGACCGCATTTATTCTGATGGGTCAAAGATAAATGGCGTCTCATGTCACTAATTATACACTCCACTCTCAAGTTATCTTGGTCACATGGCAGAAATTTAACTCGAAAAAGAAAGAATCCGTTGTTAAATTAAACAATTAATATTCTTTGTGCTTGAACTAGCCTTAAGAATAATTAATTAAGTAGTGTGTCCACAGCAAAGCTGTCCTGACATACTACAGCAGAATGGTACTTCTAGCTGTGTGGTCCTGTTAGCAGAATGGTACTTCTAGCTGTGTGGTCACGTTAGCAGAATGG